CAATTCCGGAATTTATTCAAGGAAATTACTCTTTAAGATTTACTTCGTAATTTTTAATATAGATATTTTGAGTTTTTATGTATTTTTGCCTTGTCGGGAAGTAAGAACTGAATTAATTGAATTAGAAATACTGAATCGTCTGTGAAAAACTGTTTCTCTTTTGTTTTGTTTGCTTAATTTCTTTTATGCATTGTTTTAGACTTAATATTGTACTGGAATGGAACATGTGGCAACTATTAGATAATTCTTCAAATGATATAAATTCATATGCATTCTGAGTTACAATATGAACGAAATGTAACGCTGTTAAGTGAACCTAGCGCCAGAGTGTCACTATGGTAAACAAATATAGTGAATTTTAAAGAGTGCACTTATTCTATTGTGGTTTATGCGTTATTGAGGAAATAGATTTAATTCAATCCAATAAATTTATAATAAAATGCAAGAAAATGCATATAATTTAATATTCCGTACAAGGAAGTCGTGTGAGGTACACATCAGATTTTTTTTTTCTTTTGGTTTTTAGACACGCAACACGGCACATCGCAAAATCTTCTTATTCTGACGCCCATGTGTCTCGAGAGGCACAACAGAAAGAATTTCCTTTTTTCTCTCTCTGTTTATTAGCTAATGGCAAAGAGGTTGGTACATTTTGAATTATGTCATCCACAAATTTTGATTGGTTTTTGCTTTCTGATGATAGTTTCCTTCTTTTAGAAATGTGATTTTGGCAACAGTTTTTCATTCATTACTTTGGATACTGGACTGCTGACTCTTTGCTCTTGAAAATATGATATTTGTTGCTTATTTCATTGTAATTTTTTATATTATGTTTTAATTATAGATATAATTTTAATTATATAACAAGTTTCTTTTTTTTTTTTTTTTTTTTTTTTTTTTTTTTTTTTTAAGAAACAAAGTTCTTATCTTCGTTTATACCATTTGAATTCTTAAGATTTTGCTACGGGAAGTTGACTAATTTATTTATTAGGATAATTAATATTTGTATTAAGGGATATTGCTTATTTCATTGTAATTTTGTTATATGTAATAATTTTTTTTTAAATGAAGTTATTCTGCAGAGTAAAATTCTGCGCAGTTTTTAAATTTAACGTTTGGTGTTTCCTTTAGACATTTTCCCGGTACATTTAAAAGCCAGACGAAGGCTGGCTGCGTAACTGCTATTTAAAAAATAAAATATATATATATATAATTCTAAAATTATCTTGAAACTAAATTAAGGTTAATTATGTTAATTATATAATTATATTAGTATTATAAGTATCGAAGAAATTTAGTACTTCATTTGGTTTATTTTGATATGTTGCTAAAATTAACATGATTTAACTGTACGATCAATTATACTGAGAAAAAAAAATCTGGTGTGTATACCACATGACCTTCCTTGTACCGAATATTAAATTATACGCAATTTTCCTGCATTTCATTTAAACATATTGAATTAACAGTTAACGAATTTTGAATTAAATTTACTTCGTCGATAGCGCATAAACCACAATAGAATAAATGCATTCTTTAAAATTCACTATATTTATTTACCATAGCGACACTTCGGCGCTAGGTTCACTTAACAGCATTACATCTCATTCATTTTTTAACTCAGGGTGCACAAAAATTATGTCATCTGCAGAATTATCACAAGTTCTTTTCAAATACTATAATACATCTAAAACGATGTATGAAAGAAATTAAACAACTAAAAAAGAAACACATTTTCGTAGGCGATTCAGCGCCGCTTACATAATGCGTATGCGCTACTAATTAATTCACTTCTCACTTCGCAGCAAGGCAAAAATACATAACAATTCAAAATATTTTCATTAAAATTTGAAAGATATAGAAAAACATTAAACACCAAGTACTGTTAAAACACTTAAAAAAAAACAATTTTTACAATTAAAATTACAGTTTCTACGCAAAAACAAGCTAATAACTTAAGTGATAATTCCAGAAGGAATTAAGCATAATTTAATTCACAATCATAAAAAAAGACGTTACTTTGTTGCTGCGATGCTTAGTTTCTCTAGATTGGCAACAAATCCACTATTCTGCTAAGTTTCAAATGTAAACAAACATGGTTGCCATGGTAATCAAAAATTAGGCTTAGCCTCACTTGATAATTCCACAATTATTGCATGCAGGTTAACTAAAGGCATAAAAATCTTAACCACAACAACAAAATTCAATTATTTTTAAAGCAAAAAATGCACAATTTACAAGCATATGAGAATAAAGAAGCTGAGCTCACTGAGCCGAGTAACAGAGTGGATATATATACATATATATAATTTTAGTGCGGCCGGTTGAAACCATAATGAGAGGTGCACATCTACATGTTATAGCAGTCCTATGTACAAAATTTCTGAGGCTATTTAGTTTGGAGTTATCAGAGATACTTACGTACAGACGCCACGAAGAAAAATCTCTTCAGAATTAATTTTAAATCAGGCTCTTAATTTGGAAAGGAAGTGTCCTTTATTCTGCCCTTACATACAGTTTTAACGCAAAAGCATCGTTAAATTGCATGCGATAGCAGTCAAAATGGATATTTTCATTAAAATATGATTCCCGAAAATTTTCGGGATTACAATACTTCCTTTTTATTTCGCACAAGGAAGTAAAACAGCATTCCTTTCGTATAAGCAAATTTCGTTTAAACTGCCCGAGTACAAAATTTATGGGTGAAATTTTTTAATTAAAGTTCCTCCAGTGCAATTTCTTGAAACTTATTTTATTGACTACTTTTATATTTTTCTTAAAATCTTTTATATCTTTATTAAAATCAATGTAAAATAACGTCTAAACGAGGAACCGAATATTGAGCAAAATGTTACCCTAGTAAAATAAAATAATGTCATTCTTTTTTAGGAGCGAAAAATTCTACAGCCTCTGGCAGAATTAATTTTTTCCTGAAAAAGAAGGAAATGTGTCAAATCGCCCTCGGAATCATTAGAATTTTATATTAAAATCTACGTCAAAAAGTTTGCTTTGTTGCTCAGTTTCAGGTGCTTCCAATTCTCATATCGCATACCACTCTCTGAACTTATTGATGTCGCTGTATTCTATAACAGAGTTCTTTATGTGTAAACGAATGTAAGTTGATTTTCCTTAGATATTCCTCCCCACGGAAATATGCTTTCTTTAAGAGCATTCCAAGTATAAATTTAGAACGATTTTATGGTCAGCCTAAAATTTTAGTTGGCACAAAGACCAGAAGGCAGTTGTCTTCCCATATTAGCTAGATTCCAAAGGTAAGTGAGAAATTTTGAAACTTGATCATGGAGATATTTTGAGTTTTTAATAACATTCCTGCCGTAATTTGCAGTATGAATTTTTCCTGTAAGATTTTTTTTCCTAAACACACACATATTACATAAGTACACATGCAAACTAATTTACTGTATCAAATTTAACTGAAAAGTTCTCGTTTAATAAAACTTCCAAAGGTTAATTAATTTCCATCTGTCTGAAGACGTTACATTTATACAATACCCGCCGCTTATTTAACTCACTGGTTAATAAACTCAGCCGTTTTTTACGTTATTCAAGGACCAAAACAAATACTGGTGGAATACCATATGAACATAACCCACAGTTCAGCTTGAAAAACATCATAAATTTCTCTAAAGTTAATTTGCAAAGTTAGGATTAAGAAAAATAAACAAAAAAGAAATCATTATGGAGCTTACGTCAAACAAATGTCATTAATATGTTCCTAATATCCTTCAATAAAAATATTTAAATAACGATTAATAAATTATTGTACTAAAACATGAAAAATTAAAAAAATCTAATTAGAAATTCCGAAGATGTTCTTCAAATTAAGATTTTTAAGAAAGAATTTTCTAAAAAATTAATTAAGAAGAATTCCATTTGCAAAAATATAATTATTCAGAAACTATCTTCCTTTGAAGCTTCTCTTGTTAAGATTTTCAGTGCTTTTATGTAATGAAAGCAATTATTAAAAAATGTTAATTCCCTTCTTAATGTAGAGGTCTCTTCTAGAATATTGCTGTGACAGTGGCATTTTTCTTACTATGCTCATTGCTTTAAGCTTATCAAACAATTTATCCTTTACTGAACTTCCACCTTAATACGTTTGAATTAAAGCAATCAGCGTTTTATTTGTAAATTCAAATATCTTTACGTCTAGGAAAAAGAAGAAAATATCACCATAAAAAGTTTTCAGTTATTAAAAGTATTCATTAAATTTCTGTATTTCAGCAATTTCAGTCTATGTATGTAGAAAGAAATATGAAGAGAGAGAACAAGAATATGAAGGATTTCCAAATCAAGGATTTTAAAGAGCTTATAAGGTACATCTTCCGCTTTCCTAGCGTGCTTTCGTGGTGTAGTGGTTCTGCACGCTGGGCCGGTATTCCAGAGGCCCGTGATTCGATTCCCGGCGAAGGCGGTTACTAATTTTTCATCTCTCCGGCTTCCAAAAATTCTAATATCTCTGCAGTGGCGCCCAAACTAAAAGGGTTGTGGATGATGACTCTCCACAGCCACGATTTGGCGATTGGGTCCCTTAAAAACCTCAGTCGCCCTTTAAAAAGGGGAGTATATAAGGTATTTCTCCCGCTTTCCTAGCGTGCCTTTGTAGTGCAGTGGTTCTGCACGCTGGGCCGGTATTCCAGAGGTCCGTGGTTCGATTCCTGGAGAAAGCGGTTGCTAATTTTTCATCTTGCCTGCTTTCAAAAATATACCTATTGTCTCTACAAAGTGCTAAAATTTAGAAATTGTTGTGCTTACAGTTAAACATTTATTTATATTTTAATTAACCATATGATTTTTCATTCGAAATTGCAATCTTTTTCCCGTGAATTTTGTATCTGAAGTTCAAATAAGTTACACATTCAACATCGTAATATGTTTTATTTGTGGTATAAACGCGAAGAAATTTTCACGCATGGGAAAGCACTGAAACTGAAAATTAAACGCAGTGTTTCGCTTTAAAAATAAAAAAGTATTCTTACTCATCCGGGAGGCAAAACGTGAGTGGGAAAAAGTTAAAAATTCCCGGCATTATCTTCTTCATTCTCTTCAGATTATTCGCCAACAGGTCTTTTTTACATATTTCACTCATGCCAGGAAAATGATTGATTCTCTGAAAATAAATAAATAAATAAACATAATTTTGTTGGATTTGCTTTCATTTCGTGCTACTCTTCCCTAGCTACATTTTGTGTAACGTATAATAACAGAGTTAGTTAAGGATCACGTAAATTTACAATCCAACAGAGGCCAAATGAATAAAATCGCCCGACAATGCTTGTTCGAACACAGTTCGAAGCTCGGTAAAAGGGTAAGTGCTGCGTTTCCATGGTTTTCCTTAGATTGCAATACGAATACGAACTGCATAGTTTCGCAAGAAAGCATTCCTTGCGCTAAGTACATAGGCCTTGTGTGATTTGGGTATAATTAACTGAACAAGGAACAATTTAGAATCATTTACAATAGTGAAATTTCTACAACGGATTTAAAATAATGATAAAAACAAGAAACTAATGACTTGTAGCATGATAAATAACATACAGTAAAATTGTGTGCAAACATAGCTATGTAAATCAGTGGGAGCTAACTTTAATGCACATGAAAACCAGTTTAAGACGCATCCAGACTCCTCCATATTGATGATATTCTTTTTTTAACTACTAACTAAATTAACGAAGCAAGAAATTTAAAGATTGAAAAATGCGATCAGATTTCAAAAAAGATCAGATTTCAATTTTATTACTGAAAAATGCGTCATACCTCAGGTTCGCATTTAGTAAACGATATGCATTTCATGTACGCTGATTATGATATATGTGATTATGGTATACAGATTGAAGTTCAAAAAGAAATTATCGAAACAGTACATTTTGGGTACTTACGTATTTTCTATCAACCAAAAAATTGACGAATATAACGCCAATTTTGCAATAATTATTCCGGCGGCAATTTTAAAGAACAGATAGATTTTTATTTAATTACATCACCACAGATCGCTCTTCATTTAATTAGTTGATACAATGGATACAATGGATACAAAAAAAAAATAATAAGCTTGGAGATGATTTTACAAATAAATTCTTTAAAGATAGCATCATTCATTTGTGCGTTTAAAATAGTAACAATATTCTTACCTTCTGTGTGAACTTGGTACTTCATAAATTTGCTTAAAATCAATTTAAGTGGTAGTTAACATGGTTATATAATGTTAACAAGATATCAAGATTTTGTTTCTTCGTTGGCCAATTATTCGAGGTGTAGTTTTTCACAATTTATGGTTCTGTATCATCAACTGTTGTTTGTTTACTCTCATCGTTTAGGTTTGGATGCGGTCTGTGTTAGTAGTAAAAAAGAAATTGATGGCAAAGAAGCTCTGGGAAAATCGTTAGCAATATCTAGCTGTAACCAAGTATTATGGGTTAACTTTAATCTTTGCAATCAAAATAACGATGTCTGAAGTCTTGGTGAGATAGCATAACACAATTTGTAAATCATACAAAACAAGGGTTGAGAAAATCTGGATTGTGTATAAGTTAGTGTTGCCGATTTATGAGTTACTGGTTTATTATCTTGCATGAGTCCAATTGAACTGGGATAAAAAGATATTATTGGTGTGTTTATATCAAAGAATTGCAACACAGGAATTGACTGAAATAGATTTTCGTCTCGCAGAAATGTTCGGTCACATTGTACATCCCATAGCCAATTGATATCTTTTTAACTAAATTTCTCAAAGTTACTCAAGACACCTGAAGCACATATTTCCTTAAGCATGCTATCACATGAATTTTCTGTTTAATGAATTTCACCCTATTTTGGCTGGCAGTTTGGAACATCACTTTTTACTTTCTTTCCACAATGGTCATCAAGAGTTTCACTATGTATAATAATATACTAAAAGCGAGGTTTAAATATCGGTCGAATTCTCGAAAAGATTATCCATTGCCATTTGAAATACTTCAGGCACACAGCTAAAACCAAATGATATTACAAAGAAACTATACTTCTCTAAACGAATTATAAATCTACACAGATCAGCACATTTCACAGTCTAATTGATTATTATAGAAGGCATTTTAGCATAAATTAAGCAGAAAATTTAGACCACTTAAGTTTTGACAATAATGGATCCTGAAAAGGAATACAACAATGCTGTCTTATAAACTGATTAGGGTGACGACTTGTTCGAATCTGGCAGCTAGCCAAAGCTTGCAAACCTTCAGCTCAGATGCTTGTTTGCTGCCCAATCGGGACAGCGGTTAAGGACTCTGACTGTCGTACCGAAGGGTCCAGTCTCTAATCCCCAAGAAGGCATGAATGTTTGTAAATGTATAGTGTCTGTGCTACAGGGAGGAAAAAATTTTAAATATGCGGCGAGTCGAAAGTCCCCTTCAGAGATTCAAGAACCCTTGAGAGGAAGAGGGGTGAGAGAACCTCAGACCCGCCTCTCTGGGGTGCTCTTCATTAAAATTGGGAGGGGGGACTGAGCAAAGTCGTACTGTCACATGCATGGTGCTCATGGCTCTTGCCAACGACAAACTCAGTCTTGCACTTCTTGTCCTGCATTTTCTTTAACAAAAAATCTGGTAAGGAAGAAGGTTTTCTTCACACACTCCCAGAAGACGATATGCGATTTAATATTTATCATAGACTTTCTGGCACCAACGCTACCAACTGACACGAACTACAAATCTCTTTTTACAGGTGTTGATGTTTTCTGAAAGTTTCTTTGGCTTTATCCTGTTAACTCGACAAACACACAGGATGTTTTTGATAAACAGAAATTAAAGCATATAACTTTTGGTAACACCCGACGCATTATCTGACAGTGCAGCTTAAAGTGTAGATTTTACTTCAACTGAATTTAAACCTACTGTCATGATGAGAATATTGAACATGTCACAATAATTACGGACATTCCACATTGAAAGCATGCACACTAGTTTGCACAGAAAGGAAATGCGCACACAGGAAATGCGCACATTGAAAGCATGCACACTAGTTTGATTCCTGTCTTCAAAGTTAGCCTAATAATATCCCGAAAAATGGTTTAAACATGTTGCTTCTGTGCAAAGAATCATCAATAGCACTATCTCAAACCGCCAACTCCACACCCTTTGAGCTACTATTTAGCTTCAAATGACTAATGAGGAAGATATCACAATTAAGCAAATACTTGGAGAAGAGCACTTCCAATCCACACAATAAAATACAAGACTACGTGACGAAGCGAAAATCAACATTCTCAAAATTCAAGAAGACAACAGACGACATTATAATAAGCTTCGTAAACGACTAACTTTATACAAAACTGGAGATCAAGTAGTACTTCAACACACTCAGTTTGGAACTGGAATGAAACTCCATCCTAAATTTTTAGAACCCTGCAAAGTCATAGGTCTCAAGCTACGTGACTGCTATGATGTCGCGCAAGGTGGAATGCATGAAGGCCCTAATAAATCTTCCACAGCTGCTGATATGATAAAACCATGGCCTTCTCCACATTTAGATTTTCTTTATCTAGAACTGTTGTACAACACAAATGGGCATGCTATATTTACTACCTCTATTCTTCAACTGTCGATTTTTTTTTCTTTTGTATGATTTTTTTATTTCTTTTTTATTACTTACAGTTTTTTCTATCAATTTATTTTAATTAGTTGAAGAGATTTTTCTTCTCCTCTACAGAGAATGTTATATATATATTAAGATATTCGGTTTTTTTGTTCTACCTTGCCAAGATGTTCCTTAAAACGTTTGAGCATTTAAGACAGTCTGGAGAAAAGACGTTTCTTCTTTTTCCCTTCCTCGAGATGATCCAGTGACGCACAAAATAATTTTTTTCTTCTTTTTTTAATTATTTCAGATTTTACTGTATCTCCATCGTCGCCAGAAGGACCTGAGCATCAAGATGCCCGAATGTGATAAATCAGGAATGCGAAAACTTAACACGCCCGACAGTCTCGCAGGCAGAAGGATGATGGGAAATAAGAGGAGTATGCGCGATTCGACCAAGACGTAAGAATGTGGAAGCTAAGATGTAAGATCTCAATCATCAGTTCTTTTTCACGTGTAAATGTCATTTTAATGTAACTCCTAATAGGTAAGTTAAATAATTTAGTCACCTAAATGTGTTTCGTCTGTCTACTAATCCCCTAGATGCCGAGTTTACATAAATTTTATAAAATGTCTAGCCTTTCATTAAACATTGGATAGGAGAGATTGTCTCGCTTATAAGACATTAAAGGATACATTCAGTAATAAACGACAAAGCCTTACCAGTGAGTGTACAAACACTTATTGATGTTGGGAGAAGTAATACCTTATTATTTAATTTTTGGAACGTAGAATAAGGTAAAACGTTTATTTGCATGCAAGCATCTAGCTTGAAACTAACTGAATTATAAACTAATTTGTAGTAACCAATCACTTTTTTTTAGTTTTTGAAAGAGTTACAGTTAAAATCATCGCACAGAAAACAACGCAAGACTGAAACATTGTTATACAAAACCATCGTGAGAGAAGAGAAAGCAAGGAGAAAACATCGCAATTCTAAATCGTTGCGGTATAAAATATCGTCGCCAAAAATAAAGCGGCTCAAGAACATCGCAATTTTAAAACAGCCGTGTAAAAAATATCGGGATAAAAATTAAAACACCTACAAATAAGAGCATGATATTAATATTGTAGACATGAGGTTTTTTTAGGCCTTAACAGTTCTAAATGCATATTCGCCTAATGATTTGTATGCGCAAGTAATAATAAGGAATATTTTGACCTCTATATTTCATATTTTTGCTTTAAATAAATTTTTTTCTTAAAAAAACGGGGTATTAAGCATTGAAAAGCTGAAAATGAGTAGCGAATTAACGATACATAAAGCAGTCAACAGAATTTTAAATTTATGTACTTAAACATTAAAAGTCACTATTTAAATAATCTCTTTTATAAAGTTGTATTGGCAGTTTTCCATGAAAGGTATAGTCTAAAATAATTAAGAAAGTGAAGAAGAGTAATGCATGAGGTTACCTGTTATAAATTTGATATTATAATGATCCATAATTTTTTTTTAATTTTATGAAAGGTTAGGTAAATAAATTTTATCACATTTCATTGAGAATATTTATTTTGACGGTTACTGTTGTTTTTTTTCTTAATAGCAAAATTTTAAAGCACTCATTATAAATCTCACAAGATTTCTTAGAATAATATTCAGAGTTCTCTCTCGAAGACTTTATACTCTCAAGGACATTCATTCATAACATTTGGATTACATATTCATTTATAACATTTGGATTACATATTCATTCATAACATTTTGATTATATCTCACCTGATACGCTTTCATTCTTGCTAGTCTCTCCAAAGGAATTGCACCATCAACCCAAGCTACTGACCAGGTGTCACCATATTCGACATCGATTGCGCCAGCCTCCAAGAAAACATCTCTAACTAAAGAAGAGAAGACCGTTCTATAACGGCTCGGTTGGGCAGAAATATTGAAGTCGAAAAGAAATCTGGTTGCCTAAGTAATTTCTCTCGCACCCATTCAGCTCATTCAATCTGTAGCAAATTTAAAGCTATCGCATTCTTTTCAGTAAGCAGTTTTTAAGAACATTCGTTTGTAAAATAAAAACATTTGCTATATCATTTCAAGTACAAAAACATCGTATTTGAATATTGAAATATGTGAATTTCTTTAAATAGATACTTCGTTTTTAAGGGATATGTGTCCTGAACGATAAACAGGAACTGTGGGCTATATTTATAATGCAATTCTAACTCCAAAGTATCTTTTTATGTTAAACACAACGAATAAAATATATTTCTAATCTAATGCATTTCTGTTTGTATTTATTTCTAACCTATTCTATTTAATTAAATGTATTTCTAACTAATTACCATACATATGTGCCTACTAAAAAAATCCTAAGCTCCATAACCTAGGAATTTGAAACTTTTGCAGGTGAATAGAACATGATTCATAGGAATGCTACAACATATTTGGTGATCTATAATTCCAAAAATTTGGAAGTTGCAAGACAAAGAAATTTGTTAATTTTGCAGGCGGCTCAGGATCTACATCTCGTGTTTTACTATATTACTAGAAGTTACTATATGAACTCTTGTTCTATTCTATTAGTACGAGTTACCCTTTTTTTATTAAAATGCTAGGTGTTATTGTGGGAACTCTTAATTTATTACATTTTATTCCGTAATTTAGTAGGTGAGTTTTACTATTATTTATTCGGATTTTACTACATTTAACTGTAATAAAGAAATAAATACATGGCTTGATTTGACATAAAATAACGAATTTTATACGAACTGGATATAGAGATATTTTTAAGATATCTTCTTATGGTTTTGAATGTTAGTGCATAATTTTTCTTTTTATCCTCAATATTTTGAAATATTTTTAGCTTAGTAAACGCTATATAAAATTTTAAAAAAACCCTCGTTGTTAAATTTGTTGACTTTTCAGAGGGTTATACAGTAGTGTTAAGAAAGTTTATCTCTCTTAACAAACTACATTCGATTTGTTTGTATAAACTAAAGATTAAATAACATAAGATTTGTGAGAGTTCTTATGTATTTTTTATACTTAATTCAGAAGTCTAGCGGAATTAATACATCGTTAATAATTAGGATTCTCTAATTTATAATTTATATAATTAGCTTTTTACATTAAAGAAACGAATTTAAATTTATTACCTAATCCAAATTTACATTCTTGCAAGAAAGCTTTAAATTTCCTGAAATGAAAAAAAAAAAAAAAGTTTTCAGGAATTAAAATTTTTCATTCACTATTTTCAGCATTATAATAATTTTTCTGCATAACATGTGGTAAAAGACACTGTTTCTCTAACTTATTTGGTTAATCGCGCAAATGTAGAAAGTTTTGAATGCTCAAACCATTCACATCTATATTTTTATAAAACACGTAAAAAATAAATTAGTAATGATGAGGTTGGGTTTTTTTGTATATTAATGAAATTAGAGGAAAATATGCAGTCACATGTACAACCTGCACAAAAAAAGGGGGAAGTTCTATATCTCCCGTTCTACTGGGAAAAACTAGAAACTGAGTTTTATAGTAGATTTCAGCTAGAGAAGAAAATTTACGAAATTTATTCAAAGAAATGTAGAACGTTGTGAATTGCTATACAGTAACGAGCAGGAAATTACGATATTAGAAAGAATGGTTCGGCAGTTGTTGTCAAAAGCGCAATTTTTTTTTTGTTTTGTTTTCGTTTGATTTATTTGATTATAGCAAAGCACTCGAGGGCTTACTACCTAGATGCCTTCTTGGAAGACTTTCTTAGGGAAACTGGCTCGCATAAACGCAACACATGGGAAAAGCATGAAACGCTCGGCAGAATTTTTGAGGTTAGAAACCTCCAAATGTTAAATGAATTGTTTCAGTTGGCGAGCAGATATGGTTCGGTTTACTTGATTATAGCAAAGCACGCTAGGGTTTTCTTCTTAAGGGTAGAAATACCTTCTCGGAAGACTTTTTAAAAGAGACTAGCTCATATCCAAGTTACACATGGGGGGGAAAACCACGAAAGCACCCAAGCAATCAGCCTCTGCGCCTGGAATCAAATCCTGTTCGAACTATCAGTGTTCGGTGACTTTACCGCTCTGCTGCTAGTGAACTCGGCTACCAAATATGAAAGAAGACATATGAAAATAGAATATCGTCAGACGCGAGGTGGTTTTGGGCGAAGCTTCGACGATGGAGCTGGTGAACGGAGTCGGCGACTTTTGTCGAAGTATAGAACAGGTGAAAGTAGCCAAAAAGGCAATGACAAATTAGACGAGATTCTAGGAAGAAACATTTTAGGGCGAAGAAAAGGAAAAGTAAAAATTAAAATCATTCACACCAGCGTGTAGCACTGATGGCTCACACTTAAGTCTCTCATAGGGCGGCGTGTACCACCGGTGGCTCACACTTGAATGTTCCATAGGGCAGCAAAAATAAACAAGCCAAATGCAAGGCCTGAAGTAGAAAATTCCAGGGACCAATAGTGCGAAGTAAGGCACGCAGGGCGAGATCTAAAGGCAAAGCAGACCGCAGAAGAAGCGCAGAGGCTGCCGCCAAATAAAGTCTACCTACAATCTAAACGTCGGAAGAGAAAGAACGGAAGAACAACAAGGGTATCCAAACTCCCGTCATCGGAGATTCAGAGCTCTAAAAAGAGTCTAAACAGCATCAGTTAAGTCTGCGTGGGTAGAGGAATCCAGCAACTGCTGAAGAACGGAAAGCTTTCTATGTGCCGAAGGAGTAGAACAGCTGTCGAAGAAAGGAAAGCCCTCTACGGCGCGAGGAATTAAAACGCCATGGCAAGAGAAGAAGAGTCGATGAGACCGGGAGTGCAAGGGATGCTGGAGTCAATGAGAGACAGAATTTCGCAGTAAATGTGAAACATGAAGGACAGATTGGAACCATTACGTGAAGCAACGAGTATGTTAGAAAGCCATTAAGTGAAGCAAATACGTTAGCAAGCTAATTTCTTTTACTATTTAAGGTTGAAGTGTTATTCAAAAATTAAGACGATGTTAATTAGGCTGGAAAGATTTCAAAATTACATTGTTTTGTATGTTGAAACGTAAAATTAGTGTTCTTACTACCAAATATAAATGGGGATTTTAAAAGTAATGAGGTAAAATGAAGAAAGTAGTTCTACAGTCAAATACCTCAAAGTAAAATGTGCTTGTTTTTAGACATTAGGGTAACTTTGTAGTACAAAGGGCATATTCGAGTTTAGTCTTTCCGTAGTTACGTGCTATGTAGAGTGGATTAAGGTAGTTGTACTCGGTAACCACAAAGTATACACTTGGATGATTTGAGCACAAACACAGCTGCTGAAGAGAAATATTAGAAAAGACTGAAAGTGAGTAGTTGTGATAAAATCAATGCATCGTAGTGAAATGAAATGTGCTATTGCGCATATACAGTGTAAGATGTTTTTTTTTTCTGCCAGGTCCAACTGGAAGGATGAAGAAAAGTCACCAACTTAGGATGAAATTTTGTTTACAGGGGCTGCATGGCATGACATGAAGAAGCTCGGCTAGCACCTCCGGAGAACCAGTGGTAATTGAGGTATCGTTGGACTTCTCTAAGAAATAAGAGAGATTCATCCCCCAAGCGGCCCACGAGATCCTGGGGCCGTCCATGTATACCAACAGTCTACGGAGCACTCCGTCCCTGCGCCCATATCCAGCCATGCTTTCAGCATCCAATCTTTTGGGATTTCTGAAGTAAAGGGAATGCAATAGGATAGAATTTTAGTGATTATAGAAACTTTCCATAAATTTCGTTTGAGAACTTGATATAACAATGTTCTTTTCCTTGAAAGGAGCGTATAAAGTTAAAGAAATATCTTGTAATCGTAAGAGTGTTTAGATCAATGTTTGGCTGCTGCCCACCATGCTTGTCTCATAGGGACTGCCCCCATGCTTGAGCCGCTTTCGAGAAGAAATTAGCATATCTGAACAGTTTAACTTGGTTAAGATTTTGAGCTAGCTTTTATAAGCTTGTAGCCTGGCTTGGAAAGTATTTAGAATTGTAAATACAATGACTTTTTAAGGGACAATTTTGTTCTACTAAGAAGTGAATGCGAATAATAATTTTGTTTCTTTAAATGTTTCACTTAATCTCTCAGCAGTAGTGAGGTAAAATAAATCTACGATAAAAGTTGGATATTTGTGTTTGTGTGATTACCTCATCAAGTTAGTTATCTGTAATAACTCATCTATTGATTTTAATTGACAGTTGAGGGCTGAGAGTTGAAGTGGTTGAAAAGTAGAATAGCCCCTTACAATTTTTACACACTTATGTTGAGTATTTTAGTCATAAACTGCAAGAATTATCGTCTAAAGAGGAACTTACCTTTTCGGTCTTCTTCCCCCCGAGGAATTAAAAAGTCTCAAAACGATGTCTCGGGAATTTGACGGTTTTCTCCGAAATGCTGCAAAATGCAAGAATACGCATAATATTTAACATCGGAAAAGAAAAAACATTCTTTCACTGTAACATGCGTAACAGTGAAACCATTCTAAAACTGCAATGAGCATAGTTGCATTGCTTTTCAAATAACAGTGGCGTTAGTTGAAATGCCCCACACACCTAAATTAAATGGTGAAAATAAGACAAAAGTTAAACAAAAATTAATGTATTTAAAAATTAACTCAATAAAATTCTTAATCAAATTGTAAATTTCCCAAAACATTAGAACGTTTCTCATATCCCTCGCCAAGAAACTTTTCTTAACTAAATCTTCAGCCTTGAATCTTATTTATTTATCAATCACTTGAAATTTTTCGAAACTTCTTATCCTTAATTAAGTAATTATGGCAAATACTGGATTTCCCCCCCCCTAAATAATTGTTTGAAATCCATTTTACATACGATTAATTTTGATTACTTAGTACGTCATTATTTTAATTATTACCTTTAATTAATTTGTATTAGTCCAAAGGGGCTTTGTCCCTGAAGGACTATTGTTTTCGTTTTTCGATTTTGCGTTGAATCACTAGAAATTCACTTTTCAAATTGTTACCACCGAATGTTAGAGTCCTGCATTATATTTGAAGAAATTAAATAATGAAAAATTTGCATAAATGTATATATGTTACGGTGAAACACCGAAATCTGGATAATGTCGACTTTCACTGGTGAATGTGAACATTCACATAGTCGCTTGGTTATGTCCGAAATATGAAACTCAAGGATTTCAAAGCGAACAATGGCAACGTTGTGCAGAAAATACTGTTATTTCTGACTTACACCGGTAAATGTCGACATTCACCATCTAATAATGGTGAATGTTGAACATATAAGAATATTATATTTTCTTCTCCGTAATTCAGTTGTGAAAAACGCTTTGTAAACTTAAAATAAGAACTTAAAACACACAGCACATTCAAAATGAGAACAGAAAATCGTAGAAGTTAAAAACTTACTAAATTATGTGATTCGAATATTATATATTGCAACAACGTAAACTGTTATGAAACTTTGAATTGCACAAGAGGCCCTTGCTTTTACGTCTGCATTTATTTGTGGAACACTTCCTTTTGCAGTGACAGCGTGTACATATGCTCCTCTCATTTCGACCTACACCAGAGCATATCTGTGATTGTCGACATACACCAGTGAGGGTCCGAATGTACAAGAATGTAATGCAATATTCGATCTTTCACCGACGTATTTGGTGAATGTTAACATTCTCGGTGAAAGTCGACACTCTCCAATTTCAGTCTTTCACTGTAACATATATATATTTCTCGCATTGTGATAAAACAACATACAGAGAGCCATCGAATTTTGAATGGCGTAATCCTACTGAAAATATGGGCATGTGGAAGCCCAAATTTGAAATTTGGAATTTGTTTTACTATCGATTTCATATTTTGCAAATCTTTAACGAATTTTTTTTAATAAACTCAAGGATTTCAAAGCGAACAATGGCAACGTTGTGCAGAAAAAACATTTTTATCTCCAGCGCGTGAGATTCCGTATTGGAAATTCTAAAGATATGCTCAATTTAAAACTATTTTGCAATATTGCTCTTGAACTGAATTTTGTGGTTTAAGGGCGAAGAACATGATGTTTAATAAATAAAAGCAACAGACAAAATGTTAAAAAAAACGCTCCTTTAGACGTAATTTAAAATCTGAAACCTTTCCGATTTTCTTTTATTAAGTTTTTTTATTTTTTCTCTTTTTTTTTTAATTTACACACACATACACATTTCCAGAACACTTGGGTTAAGACCCTTTTGACCTAAAGATATTTAAAACCTGCACATCTTTAGAATTTCTGGTAGATAGTCTCGCGCTCTGGAGACAATGTTTTATTCTGTAGTATAGTTTTGCCACTGCTCACTTTGAAATACTTGAATTTTTATCAAAAATTAGTTAAAGGTTTACAAAATATGAAATAGATAATAAAACAAATTCGAAATTCGGGCTTCCAAATGCCATATTCAGGTGGAGGGCTACATTATGCAAAATTTGATGGCTCTAGGTAGTACCGTTGTTTCTTCACAATACGAGAAACATGCATACATTCTTCATTATTTAATTTCTTTTAAATGTAATACAGGGCGATAACATTTGGTGGCAGCAATTGAAAACTATTTAACGCTTTTAGGAATTCGACGCAAAATGCCGTTTCGAGACTTATAGCCTTTCTGGGCTAACGCCCCTTTGGGCTAAAAATTCAAGCAATCTGAGAAAATAACTTCTGATAGCAAAGAACTTAGAAGTTCAAGAAGATTTTTGACAGTTAATTTTCAATAAAAAATACTCGGATACAAACTAAGTACTTGGTACTTGGTTATTATTTCAGAACTCGAATACAATTTTGGTGGCTTTGTGAGAAATACGTATTTAGAGAAAATTATGAGCAATATTATTATTCGCGATACAGTATGAAGTAGATAACGAGTAAAATAGACAGGAACTTGATATATACTGTTTAGAGAAAATTTTGTCACCACTAACATACAAATACCGCGAATAATCTCAAACCCAATTTCGCGCCCTTCAACTGAAGATTAATCATATATGCGTTTTGAATCTGTTCTTACTAAAGTAAAAGAACATAAACATTCTGCTTCCTGAATAAAAACTTGGTACATATAACATCGTTATTAAAGCTATAAAATAGTAACTCTACTTTTTTGATTTGGTTTATTCGATTTACAGCAAAACAATCAAGGGCTATCTGCCTGAGGTGAAAAATGCCTGCGTGACACACTTTCTAATGCTCCGTGATAGGATTAATCTAGCAGTGACGCAGTTCAGAAAAATTGTTACTATTTTTAGAATAGAGAGGCCAAGTACCCAAACTAAAATGAAAAATTAAGGGCCTATTGGTAATTTAAATTCTAATTTATATTTACGTGTTTTTTTACCTTACATTATATATACATAATGTGCGTGTATGTAATCATTGCATTGAAGGAGAAAAATGTATCGATTGCTTCATATATAGCATAAAATATAACACACATTACTGATAAGTAGATTCATAATAATAAAGCATCTTTTAAGTACATGAAAGAAGAAACACAAATTTTACCACTTTAAAATGACGCAGAAATTTAATAATTATATCTATGTAATTAATAGAAAATTATTGTGTAACTAATTAATTGATATAACATTTTTTTATAATAATAAAATAGCATAAAATTATTATACTGTTACATGCGTACGGGTTAATAATGGATTGAATGCACACAGAACTAATGATAGCTTGATTAAATTTATTTTCTCCCCAAAAACCACTTTATAATTCTGGAACTTTTCACAAAAGTGCTCTTACAGCTTAGTGTGACAGACCATAATCACTAGCTACCTTTTCAAATTACTAAGAACGTTAAACGCAACAAAATGTAAAGTGCATCTAAAGAGCAAACTCGCACGGAGATCTCTCATGACTGAGAACTCTGAACTAAACTGAGAACTGATGCTGTCTCTGGTCTTATATAGTTTTATTCCGGCCAACGAGAAATTTGCAGTACCTTTGATTTCTCGAAATAGCTGGAAATTACCATATATAGTTACAGTTACGTATAGGTCCAAATACAGTTACAATTACATACAGGGATCAGATCAGTTGCAATTATACAGGGATCGGACGAAAATGTCGTCAAATGGTCATTAATTTTGGAGACTATTGGCGAATTCTCGCCCAGTTTGGTGATTAAAATTAATTTCCGAAACCTTCGCCAGCTTGGCGCAATCTTGAAAATCTAGCAAGATAAACACTTACCTCTCTGTTAAATGGACTTGCCCGTGTAATCTTACTTTTCCGGCGGAGCTTCGCTTTTAGAGGCATTTCATATTACGTTACTTATGAGATACCACAATTTTACACATCATTTCACTAAAATTATTTACATATATACAAAATTCGTAATAATATGTTACAACTCCAGAAGGTAAAAAAATACATTGAAAAGTATACTCTTCTACTCCTTACAATACTCCTTACAAATTATTGTTTATAGTCGGTTTATGAAGAAATAAATCGAAAATTATGATCCAAAAGAAAAAGCGTCTCAGAAATTAATTAAATTTGTAAAATAGTAACAAGCTCCAAACGATTCGAGCCATCATATTCAGTAAGCTAAACCATGGAAGTAGCCGTCACACTTTTAATAATATGAAAATTCACATATTTCTTTTTTTTTTTTTATTTAAGGATGAATATAGTTTTCATCCTTTTTATACGAAAAATAATCGCTTCTCTTTTCAGACAGTTTCATATCAATTGAACATACTGCATACTTATATACGTATGTATACACTAACCAATACATCAGTTGTCATATGCCAGATAATAACGGCTTTCATATCATATTTCTCGAAATAGTTTTCACAAATAGCCAAATAGTCAAATTACCTTTTATTTATTTTTCTTTTCAGGACGCACAAATACCTGCTTTTAGTGTATCAGCCAATAATTTTAGAATAAAGTGCCCATTTTATATAAATTAAACAACTAACATCAAACGCGTTAAAAAAGCAACTAGATTCTAAATATGACTCTGGAATGCTTAAGAAAATGTTTCTCGAGTTGAGCAAACATTCAGAAAAATTGACTATAAAATATTTTCAATTAATTTTTGCAGACGATAATTGGCCTAAACCTGATATACGGTAGACATAGGTTTGGAGATTTTATACGACGTTAGGGAGCCGATAAAGTTTACATTTGTATAAAACTGCATCAATGTTTTTGGTGAGATTTGGTGGGTTTTATTGCTCATTTTGTTGAGTTGTTGATTGTATAGCTATTTTGCATGCGTGAGCTTGAGTAATTTTAGTTCCAGCGATAAAGTAATTTTTTTTTTTTTTTTTTTTTTTTTAAAGGTTTGGTAGCGTTATTTTTTGTTTTAAGCTGAGCAATTTAATGAATGAACAAGTTTTTTAGGACGTTGGAGCTAGACAGAAAACGTACCGTGCTTTCATTAATAATAGACGCCAAGATACTACCGAAAGCTTTCCGCTGCCTCTAATGAGGGAAGGATATGGAATGGAAATTGCACCACGTGCTGATGTCTCGGGTGGATCCAACGAGGTAAGAATAGCTAAAGTACGCCTTCTCCATATGTCCGTGCAATTAGAATTGAAGCTATGAAATTCCACAGTATGACTTTACCACTTACCATGGCCGCTGCCATAAGCGGACTTTGTTTATATTCTAATTGGCGTTGTCTGCATGTTTCAGCTATTCAATATTAAACGTTTATATGTTCTAATTTTAATACTTAACAGATTTTCTACTTAGAATTACAAGGATTTCAAATAACCTTTTCAGATTTATTAAAATCTAGGTATATGAAAATGTGTAAATGGTAAAATGTATAGAAATAGAATGCTTAAGAATTATCCTAGAATAATAAAATCTAGGTATATGAAAATGTATAACACAAATGTATACATAATACAACCTGGAAGATCACTGGAAGTTTCAATGGTATTTATGCAAATTATGCCTTACAAACCCTTTTCCGAGCCTGCGCACGTTGATATTTGCTTTCAAATTCAGTGTAATTTTATACAATATGTTTCATAGTCTTACACGTACGCTGTATGGCGGCCGTGATAAGACTGACGTCACGTTGCTAACATTTCCTTTGCTTCAACTTCCATGGACCTTATAAGAAACAGACCAACCTAAATGGGTTTTCTCCCCGTCTGACGCGCTCTTGATCACATCCCGAGGAGTAGGGACGACTTTCAGAAATTTAACAGTGGTTGCATATTGCAGCGTGTATTGTCAAGAAAAAGCTGGTTGTAGTGCCTCATTTCACAAATTAGAATTTCTACAAATTTTTATTTTTGAAACTGAGATTGATTTTTAACAATTTAGCATATTTATCAAGCATAATTAGCGTTCCAAATAATTATAAAGCTATTGCATGCTGGATATTTTCTTAGCTTTTCCTATGCTGTAAGGAAATTTGTAATTACTTCTTTTAGAAAATAATATTTTAAATCCGAAATAATAGAAAATTTCAAACAAGCAATTTTCTGTTGCAATTTTTTATGCTTTTTTGTAGGTGTAAATAAGTAAAAAATATTTAAAAACGAAGTTTTGAAAGTTTTGTATAAAATTCTAAATTTTGCTGCTTTTTAAAATTATAGATGAGTATTACAGCACAATTTCTATAAAGGAATTTTATTTCAGTTATATTTCATAATACATCATAGTAAAAAAACACTTTTGACATCTTAATTTTTATACATTTAATTCTAATATTAAAATTGTATTTAACCGTAATAATTAATTTTGATTGTATTTTATAGTGATTATTTTTACTTCCTTACGAAGTAAAAAGGAAGTATTGCAATCGCGAAAAGTTTCAGCCAGCATATTTCAAAGAAAATATCCATTTTGACTGCTATCGAATGCAATTTAACGATGTTTTTGCGTGATATTTGTACGTAAGGACAGAATAAAGACACGTTTCCTCCAAAAAAATTATAAAACTGCTTTAAAATTAATTCTGAAGAGAATTTTTCGTGGCATCTGTACGAACGTACGTACGTACGTATCTCGCATAACTCAAAAACGAGTAGCCTAAGAACGTTGAAATTTTGTATATAGGACTGCTATAACATGTAGATGTGCACCTCGTATTTTGGTTGCAATAGGCCGCACCAAACGTATATAAATATATTTATATATATATATATATATCCACTCTTTTACCCGGATCAGTGATCTCAGTTTCTTTACTCTTATATGTTTGTAAATTGTACATTTTTTGCTTTAAAAATGGTTGAATTATGTTGTTTTTATCTTCCGGTTAAGGTTTTTATGCCTTTAGTAAATCTGTGTGCAATATTTTTAGAATTATCAACAATTTTAAAGTTGTTTAAGTGCCGCTAAGCCTTTTTTTTTTTTTTTTTTTTTTTTGGATGGCGGCCATTGATTGTTTACATTTGAAACAGCAGACTAGTGGATTTGTTGCCAATCTAGAGAAACTTAGCTTCGCAACAACAAAGATAACGCATTCATTTATTATTGCCAATTAAAATCATGCTTAATTTCTTTCTCTGGAATTTTTTCGAGGAAATAAGTGTTTGAGATTTACTTCGTAATTTTTAATATAGATATTTTGAGTTTTTTATGTATTTTTGCCTTCTCGCGAAGTGAGAACTGAATTAATTATATGAGAAATGCTCAATCGTTTGTGAAAAACTGTTTCTATTTTGTTTTGTTTGCTTAATTTCTTTTATACATCATTCTAGCTTTATTATAGTATTTGAATAGAACATGTGGCAACGATTAGATAATTCTATTCTTTAAATGATATAAATTTTGTGCATTATGAGTTATAATATGAACGAAATATAATACTGTTATGTGAATTTAGGGCCAGAGTGTCGCTATGGTAAACAAATACTAGAGTGAATTTTAAAGAATGCATTTATTCTATTGTGGTTTATGCGCTGTCGGCGAAATAGACTTAATTCAATCCAATAAGTTTAAATGAAATGCAAGAAAAAATGCGTATAATTTAATATTCCCTACAAGGAATTCACGTGGTGTACACATCAGATTTTTTTTAATTTATTAAACTACATAAGATTCTACAAAAGATTTTTTTTATTTACTGTTAATTTAATTTATTAGCTCGAAGCGGCATTTTGCGCTGTTTCACTATAAATATCCGTGTCTCCTTGCAAATTGTTGTTACCAAATATTATCGCCCTGTATTATATTTAAAGAAATAAAATAATGAAGAATCTGCATGAATACATGTATGTTTCTCGCACTGCGACAAAAACGACGGTATCTAGAGCCATCAAATTATGAATAATGTAATCCTGCACCCGAACATTGGCATCTGGACGGCCGAATTTCAAATTTGTTTTAATCTATTTCATATTTTGTAAAACTTTAACGAATTTTTGATTAACAAATTCAAGAGTTCAAAGCGAACAATCGTAACACCGTACGGAAAATAACATTTTTATCTCTAGTGCGGAAATTCTAAAGATATGCTGTTTTTAAATGTATGTGGTTTACGGGCGAAGAACGTGATATTCAATAAATATCGGTAACACACAAAACGTCAAAAAAAGGGTTCCTTTTGAGCGCAATATAAAATCTGAGTGCTTCTAGATTTTATTTAATCTTTTTTTTTTCCTTCATTACACTCAGAAAATTTTATGCTTCGAATTTTATAATGCCAACTTCCACGGACCTTATAAGAGATAGACTAACCCAGTGGGCGGGACGCGCGTCACCGAATGTCCACAAGAAAGAGTAGGGACGATCTGGTTTACTTTAACACTGAAACCTATGGCGTTTGTATCACATAACTCTTTTTAATTATTAAATGTGATACGCTGTATAGTGGTGAGATTATGAAAGTCACAGTTTTTTTCAAATAGGATTTAATATATCTCATTAAAGCGGATTTTACTGCATTTCGCGCATTTTTTTCACGCGTAATTCTTGTACAAACATCTTTACTTTGGTAAAACTGTAAAAATTCTAAGCACAAAATTTATGAACTTAATTTTGCGTAAAAATAAAGTAAAATTAAATAAGATTGATAGTACGTGATGCTTTGAAATAAATAAGGTAAAATTAAACAAGATTAATATTTTTTTAAAACTTTAATGAACATATTCAGGCAGTGATTTTTAAAATTATAATAACATTACAAAACGATTATTTATTTGGTTATATCATCATTAAATTATTAGCATTAAAGTGGATTATTTATTTTAGTAATTTACCAAACTTTATATAGTTATTAAACTTTGCATAATGTTAAATAATAGTTTTATATCTTTTTGATTTTTAGATTTATTTGGGAAAATCTGCAGCTGTTCTCAAACCTATTCAAATATTTCGTTTTAACATCGAATGCATTTACTCATGTTTTCACATTTTGCATAATATATTTGTTTGTTTTGCATAGTATATTTGTTTGAATATTTGTTTGGTATAATACATTAAGGATTCTTTATTTTGATCGTTTTTAATAGCATATTTGAATACAGAATGTTTCGATACTGCAAGTGTATTTGGTTGGAAATCCAATTACGACAAAAACGAGCATGTCACTACTTTACCTAAATCACCTAAAAGAAGGTGGAAAATTGAAAAATGTAAAAGAAGTTTTCAAAGTAGGCGCTTTAATGATAAATTAACTCTCAGAATATTGAGCAGATTATTTTTTTAAGAAACTAGTGTTGTGGCTTAAGATATGGAAACAGTCTGTCCCAATAAAAGAAACTTTATCACCACAAAAATTTCAGGCATTAATAACAACTACAGATGCATTCATTCAATTGATTACATACTTGTTTCAAAAATATGAAGCTGAATACATATTTCTAGGAAAATTTCAAACTGATGCTCTTGAATCATGTTTTGGAATGTATCGGCAAGTGTCAGGTTCAAATTATTACATAATTAGAAATTATTAGAAAGTGAGAAAAGCTTCGTTTTAAAAGCAATTCTATAATTTCGTCATTAAATATGAACGCCCCTTTTACAG